TAGTTGAATTAATGTGTCAGAATTTTAACTCACTCTGTGACTCAGCTACTCAGTCTCTTCTCTTTCCAACTGATGAATTTTCCCCATTCTTCTATTTTAATTGCCAAGAGAGGAATCTGACCCAGCACAATTTTTCACACAATTCTACTATAAGCTGTTGGCTGACCTACATTTAGACTACCCACTGATCAGGTAGCCAGCGGCATAGGGACTACCACAGGAAACAAATCAGTCTAGCCTGGCTTTCCTGAACCAAACCTATAGATACCACTGTTCAGGGTAGATCTGGAATGCCCAGTCTAATATGACTGTACTGACAACAGGTATTGTTTTTACAAAAGAAATGGCGATTCCAATATTTCTGTTTTATCTCTATTTTAGTAGATGTTTTCCAATTCAATCAATTTGCTTTACTTTTCTCAATTTTCTAATTAACTTTTGAGAGGAAGAGTTGATTATTAACTAAATGTAGAATTTATATACAGAATTAATGTTTTGAAGAATTTTTTTTCATTTATGCATACAAGAACTGGAGTATAGGCCAGAGGTGCGGGGGTGAGAGGATTCACTAGAGACCGAGTAGGGAGCAGAACAGGCAGATGGACTGAAATACACTGCTGAGGGGAGCAGCGGACAAGACATGAGAGGTCTGCTATGCCATGTGGGTTAACTCCCTTGTTGGGGATCGAACTCATGCCATGGAATTCAGCCAGAGTGGTTGGTGATAGCTTGATAGTGCTGAGACTTTAACCCCTATGCCATCAGGGAGGCCCTACAGAATTAATATTAACTATGACTTAAGTGTACATGCTTAATTAATTTTGTTGTTGTTGTTGTTGTTGTTGTTGTTAAAGATTTATTTATTTATGCATACAAGAGCTGGGAAGTGGGCCAGCTATGGGGGTTGAGAGGATTCACCTGAGACAGAGTGGAGAGTAGAACAGACTGACCGACTAAAACATACTGCTGTGGAAAGCAGCTGGAGAGACAGGAAAGAGCTGCAATGTCATGTGGGTCACCCCCCTGGCCAGGGATTTTACTAGTAATGCAGTGGCTGCTGATAGCTTCATAGTGCTGCGCTTTAACCCCTTGCACCATCAGGGAGGCCTCTCATACTGAATTTTATTTCAGCTATCAAGTTCGATGATGCATAGGCATTTCACAAGAGAGATTCTTTTATCCATCCTGAAACACATTGAACATCTAAATATAGATGTTTTATCCCATGGTACTACAAAATTATTTCAGGTTAGACTCCATTTTCTTCTCTACCTTCATTGGCTTCTTTGAGCCATTGCCACCTTCTAAACTACATCTGTTGAGTATTTATTCAGAATTATGTTTTCTCTTGGGTACATACACATTTTTTTATTTTAAAAAATATTGTTTTCTTTTGTCTGAATATCAAAAATAATATATGGAGCTTTCAGATTATAATAGAAGAAAGTTACCAACTCTTGAGTTGTTTCTTGTCTCTAAAATACCTAATAAAATATACAAAAAGATGCAAATGTTGGCAGCTCTGAAAACTAGGGAAACTTATCCCAGTAAACAATGGCAGTGACCCCTGACTCAGGCTGAATTGCTGAGGCAGAATGGCAGAGCTGTGTGAAAAGAAAAAATTTTTCAGGCCTCCCTGGTGGCACAGGAGTTAAGTCTCAGCACTACGAAGTTACACATAGCTACGGCAGCATGAGTTCAATCCCAGGCCAGGGAGCTGACCTACATGGTGCAGCAAACCTCTCCTGCCTTGCCCACTACTTCCCTCAGCAGTGTATGTCAGTGGCTGTGTTCTGCGACTGTCTCTGGTGAATTCTCCCACCCACCCCTACCTTGCACCTATGGCCTATACCCCAGATCTTCTACACTAAAATAAATAATATAAATCTTTTTTTTAAAAATAGAGTAAGTTGGCCCTCCCTGGTGGCGCAGCAGGTTAAAGCACTGCACGAAGAAGCTAAGGCCACTTCCTCATGAGTTTGATCCCCACCTGCCCCGGAGGTGACCACATGGCGTGGCAGACCTCTCCTGACCCGCCCAATGCTCCCCTCAGCAGTGTACTTCGTTGATCTGCCTGTTCTGCTCCCCTCTCTGTCTCTGGTGAATCCTCTCACCCTCCGCATCTCTGGCCTGTACCCCAGTTCTGTATGAATAAATAAATAAGTCTTTAAAAAAAAAATAGAGTAAGTTTTCCTTGGAGGGGATTATGCTAAGCAAAATGAATCAGAAGGAGAAAGACAAATGCCAGATGGTTACACTTATATGTTGAGCACAGAAAAACAAAACAAAGGGTCAGGTAGACCAAGCCAGTAACAAATCCTAACAATCTTTCTGTAGAATAAGTTTACCAGAGAAGGAGGGAGAGGGTGGAGAGCAAAGTGTGAAGAGGGCCCAGTGGATTATGGTGGAGTACTGTGGGTGCCTTGGTGATGGGTGTGGTGTGGTGACATACATCTGAAGAAATAAGATCCTGTACCTTTAAATTACATACAGTGGTGTAAACCAGCATCGCAATTATAATTGTTATTGCAATTAAAACAAAAACTTTCCATCTACTTTCCTCCATTGACCTACCAGACAAAGAATATTATTCTAAATTATTTTCTCTATATACATGAGTTTATGGTCAGATTTTAACTGCATAGCAAGTTTTGGGTGAAGTGTTTAAAGTTTTTAAGAGTGAATTTTTAAATAGTAAAAGAATGTATAGCCAGGAATACTATTGCTTTCTTTATTTTTTTTTAATAAGATTGATTTATTTATGCATACAGAACTGGGGTACAGGGCAGAGGTGTGGGGTGTTGGGGGTGTGTGAGAGGATTCACCAGAGACAGCGGGGGAGCAGAACAAGCAGATTGACTGAAATACACTGCTGAGGGGAGAGCAGTGTGCCAGACAGGCGAGGTCTGCTGTGCCATGTTGGTCACCCCTAGTCGGGGATCAAACTTGTGCTACATTACCTGCGATAGCTTCATGGTGCTGTGCTTTAACCCGTTGTGCCACCAGGGAGGGCCCAGAATACTATTTCTGTGGTTAGTAAGGACTAGCGGATTAGAGAACATAATACTGATTTCTGGCATGATAGAAAAAGGATTAGAGACTTAGGCTTTTTCTATAAGGTTCTAATATTTCATGCATAAGTATTCTTACCTACACTATGCTTAAAAAGATCCTCTGCTTCTGAGTCATATACAGTGTTGTATACCAGTGTTACCTAAATAAAATCAATACAATCAGAAATAATGTTGGGAAAGTGTAGAAATATTTTAAATTTTTATTTAAAAAAATAAATGGCATATGCATAACATAAAACCACTGGAAGCAAAAATACCAAAATCTAATTAACAGTGATTAATTCTAAAAATAATAATATGTATGGTTGCTACTTTCTTTTATGAACTTTTAAAAAATTTTTTAATTAAAAATACTTATTCAGGGTCTACCTGGTGATGCAGGAGTTAAAGTGTCAGCACTATCAAACTATCAACAAGAGCAGCACTATGAAGCTATCCACAGCCATTGGAGCTTGGTCCCTAACCAGGGAGGTGACCCACGTGGCACAGCAGACCTCTCCTGCCTTACCCACTGCTCTCCTCAG